CCCCAGCCCGGCCGGCCGGCTGCTCGGTCCCTGGCCCTCCCCCACGGGCAGCCTCCCGAGGGCCTGCCGCTGGTCACCTCCGCCAGCCAGAGAGACGGGCAGAGCACGTGTGTCCGGGCACCTTTCCTGGACTTAGGTAACCGCCTGTAGTTTCCTATTTCACGCTTTTCCTTCGAGAGCTCTCAACATGGGAGCGGATCCCCGTTCCCTCCGTCTTGCACCCTATAGCACTCCTCTCACGTCACACCTGGGAGCGCTGCGTTGGAATTCAACCCTCTTCTCTCATCCACGACTGACAACTACAGATCTTCACCAACAGATCTCACCAACAGATCTCCACCTACAGATCTCCACCAACATATCTCCACCAACAGATCTCCACCTACAGATCTCCACCAACAGATCTCCACCAACAGATCTCCACCTACAGATCTCCATCTACAGATCTCTACCAACAGATCTCCACCACGTCTTTCCTTCCCAGCCCGGGGGCAGCCATAACAACCGGGGGTTTCCAAAGCTATGTAACAAAACAAAAAAAGTGTTGTGTGTTTTTTAAACGTTCTAACCATCCAAGAGTTCCGCCTATTTCTAACTTCATATTGAACCCGGTCGAGGGCTGATGTGGCCCAGGAGGAGGACATGGAAGAGAAGGAAAAGGAGAAATTACGAGTGGCGTGCTTTGCATGGTAACCTTGAGGGGTTTTGTTTGCTTGCTTGCTTATTTGTTTTTAAAGAAAAGCAGATGTTGACCTTCCTTGTAAAATATTATTGTAGCTATATCTTTTTTAATTTAATTTTTTTTATTGTCTAAAGTTTTACATACGTCTCCTTTTTCCCCAATGACCCCCCCCCAGGCATGCCCACCCCAGGCAAGCCCCCACCACCCCAGTGTCTGTGTCCATTGGTTGTAGCTATCTCTTTCTTTATCATTGTCTCATATTCAAAATGCAGAAAATGTTCACCCACTTGAGAAATGTCACCTTGATAAATTAGTGTTATGCCTCCCACCAAACATTCCTTCACCCTATCACATCTTAAAGGAAAACTTCAAAAAAAATCGTTATAGTTATTTATTACAGATAACTGTAACTTTTTATCCAGGAAAGGTTTATTGCATTCATGTCCTATGCCAATATAAATATG